TGGTGGGGGGGGGGGCAAGCATTATGTCTCATACAAATTATAGAATGATTTGGTAATAGGTAAAGGTACTACTACAGTGTTTTTCAGGTCATAGGGGCGGTGTATTGTTAATCCACTGTGTCTAGGGTGCGGTATTGGAAGGCGGAGCCCATCTCCCTCATTTTATCTGCCCAACTTAAGTTACAATGTACAAGTAGGTAGTACCCATTTTACACCTGGATGGAGGAAGGAAAGTCGTTTAAAGAGCATAAATTCCCAAAGAATCAACATCTGACAGGAATACCAGTAATCAAAACAGTGACATCAAAGCTAGGTTTGCACCTTTGCACCTGAACTCACTGAGTGAGTTAAGTGAGGAAATATCTGTAAAGTGCCTTTCCAAAGGGCACAACATTGGGGCCATACAACCCTAACCACAGGATCATCTTGCACCTTTAGGCAGACATCAAGTTACCAGGCCTGCCCCTGAAGATTATAATGGAGGCCACCCAGCAGGCCACCATGGCCAAGTCTGACATCATTAACATCATGAACAGGACGCTGGCCAAACCCAGGAACACTAGGAAGGAGTACGGACCGGTATCTGGTGAGCTAGTTGTTTACTGCTGTTTGTTATTGCATTATGGAGTCTTTGTTTACTCATGAAAAACTTCAGTTGACTTGCGGGCTGCTTTTCATTGAAGTCATAAGGGAAGAAGTCAGTGTCAGACAAAATATAACAACATATAGTATACATGTATATATTATATACATAATTGGAATCCTAGCCAGTACTAAATCCATAAAGTTCAATGTCATGTACTCTGTACAGAGTCTTTTTGGAGCATACAAGTATATCTTCTTGTGACATACAACATTGTCAGAACACTGTAGTCAAGGACTTTTACATTTGAAAACTTTTAAGATGTTTTGATGCGCATGCAGATGAAATGCAAGGACGTTATATCTTCTTGCAGAAAAGCTGAAAGTGCCCATGGCCAAGAGAGCCCAGTTTGTGGGACCTGGAGGGTACAACATCAGGAACATCACAGCAGAGACAGGTGAAGCTTGCCCACAACTTCTTTTCATGTACATTTTGGGTTTCAAATACATGTACTTCTGTTTTTGGCTACAATGTAATACTTAAACTTTATTGGACAATGATTGTTCAAGTTACAATAAGGCCACACCAATTTAATTTGTTGGTTCTCGGATTTTTTCAGAAAAAATATGAAGCGACAGGGCGAAAAAAAATAAAAATAAAAACAGGTCTAGGCATCCTATTATAACCCCAAATGCTACAATATGATCCATGAAGTCAACACAAAAGGCTGGGTTAAAATTTTAAGTATAAATTTTGAACTTTTAATCAAACCACTGCATTGATAGATGAAAAAAACTGTAACAACTAGGAAGAAAAGGAATTTCCTCAACTGTTGGGGGCAAAATATGAGCATTTTTGAGTTGATTCAGAACCAGAATCTTTTTTTTTTTTTTTGCAGTCAGAAAAAAATGAAGAGGCGAATCCGAGAGCCAACA